GGGGATTAGGATCCGCTGTGGTCACTAACCCCCCCACTGTCCCCTCCCTGAGTGAGGAGAAACTGCTGCAACAATATAGGCTCCCGCTCCATATGCAGCCACGCAATCGCCATGGAAACAGACATGAGCGTGATTCATGTAAGGCGGTCACCGTGGTTACCGTCTACTTCTCCCTTACCCCCCCTCCCCCCATCCGTATCTTACTGCAACCAGACCGAGGTTAGAGGAGGACACCAACTATCCCACAACATCACTCATTCATTGAGTCATTAAAGCAGGTATACATTCATTCAATCCCTCTTTTATCCATTCACTACTTTATTTATTCACTCACTCACCAAGTCAGCTGTCCATTCATTCAATCTCTCTCCTGACCATTATAATGTTGTTTATTCACTTATTGATTAATTCACTTACTCATTTAGTAAGTTGTCCATTCACTCTTTTATCCATCATCACTAATTATTTATTCACCCACTAATTCATTCATTCACTCATTATGGCAGCAATCCCTGTATCCAATCAATCCTTGTTCTATCCATTAATTCATCTATTGACTCATTCATTCAATCATGAAGGCAGCCATCCTTTCATTCACTCTTTTATCCGTTCACTTCACCTGAAAGGAACCACTCATTTAAACATTCAATCAAATGCAATTAATGTCTAGATATGTAGATACACAAACACACACAGACACTAACATGTGAGGGGATGTAGATGTCGTAGGGGCTTCCAGAGTCCACATCGATGACGTGGAAGCCGACACTGGAGCCATAGATGACCTTTAACCTCTGACCCTCCTCCACCGTCAGGTCCACCAGCTGAGGGCGGTGCTGAAGCTCAGTGAACGACTGCAGAGGAAAACATTTATTAAACACAATAAACATAGGGAAAACAAATATAAGTTCATTTGAAGAGGTTTAAAAAGTAAACCACCAGCTGCCCAACATTGACATTGTATTCAAACATACAGGGTCAACTTTAGTCTTGTTAGAGGTATTTTACCACTTTTATCCAACTGTTTAACACATCTAACCTTGAAGGCCATAAACTTGTGGTAAGGTTTAGGCGCCCAGGCGTAGATCTCCACTGCGTTCTTCAGAGCAATCACCAAAAACTTAATCCTCTCATATTTCACTGCAGAAAGAAAGCATTAAAACAGTCAGATATGCAGAATCATATATATATAAACAATAAAAAAAATATGCTTGAGTTGCAATTATCCCATCCATACACAACTGGCCTCACAATACACCTAAAGGTGTGTTTTCTTACCAACTTTGTAGTGCACGCAGCCCTCCAGCTCCCCGACAGTGATCCAGCCTTGTTTCTTTTCCACTTCAGGGTCATTGTGTAATATCCTGTTCCTTAGCCAGGACAGGTAGTAAACTCGCAGCTTGTTCTTCTTCCCTGGTATGGAAAGGTAATCAGTTCAGATAATTAATATTCAGGTTTGTACATTTCAGTTAAAAGTACTGCACTTCAGTATTTCTACTCTACATGTCACAGGTTGATATCGTACTTTCTACTTCACTACGAATGCAGCTTTGGATAATTTCTCGATTCAAGGTTTTTACTCCCCATGAATCTATAGATGAAATTCAATGTTTGTGATAATAATAATAATAATAATAATAATAACCCAGAAGCATCATATATGATATTAATTTCCCACCTGAGATGGTGACAAGGACGTTGAGTCCCTCCAGGACGTCCATCTGTTGAAAGCGCCGTCGATTAATCAGATTATAAACTTTCCCTTGACCGCTTCGATCCAGCAACATCAGGCCATTCTCCGTCCCCACCAGCAGATTCACTCCTGCACAGAAAAAGTCTCATTTTTTACGTCTGTATTAAATGCATTGAATGTACAAACAAACATACAAATGAATACATAAATAAATAGGATTCCTCCGTCTCACCCCAAAGAGCTGCACAGAGGATCTCAGAGTTGAAGCGTTTCTTGTATTTGCGGATCTCGGGCGTGTCGCTGTGCGGCCGGATGTTGGTCGGGTTAACATTGACTACGGAGATCTTTCGGGCCTCGTTGAGCCGCGCCTGCTCCTGCTCCTGCTTCATAAGCTCGTCAGAAAAAAGCGCTGCAACACAACAACACAGCACATTATCATTTTGAGAGATTAAAGCAATAAATATCATTTCTGTGAAGCAGACTGTAGGTTTTCTTCTGGTAAATATCCCGGTAAAAGACCTGTTATATTATCTTGATTTTCACCAACTACCACTGTGATTAATACATACATGAGGCAGAAGTGTTATCATCGTCGTCGTCAGTCGGTGAGGTCCCGTAAACCCTCGGATCTACGAACGGAGTGAAGGAAGACTTGGATCCTCCGCTGCTCCCCATCCCGTACTGCACATTACACAAATAAAGAATCAAGTAAATGACATGTTTGTCAGATGGTTTGTTGGTTTTGGGGAAAGCTAATGAAGCAGGTAGCTGTTGAAATGAAAGAGTTTGTTCAGCAAAATATTTCACTTTCTCTTTTCTTTCTCTCATTTGTCACGATAATGAAAACCCTTTTTGGCCTCATCCTTCGTAATAGAGTGGTGCAGGAATGAGTCCTAAACCTGAAAGTGACTTAGCATTTTATGTTCCTGGTAAAAGGTTGTGATTAATACAAGCTAAAGAGATTTGAACTGTTTGTTCTACGACGTAAAATACATCAGTAAATACCCCACTGGGGAATTATAAAAAGAGCGGTTGCTAACAAGTATCTAAATGTGACGACTAAACGTCATCACGCCGAACATTAGCCGCCTTTAGCTTAGCGGTGGTGACGGGAAGTCATGAGACCATGCTGTAGTTCATTTATAGCATAACGTTAACTATTAACTTAAAAAATGGTAAGGTGTTATGTGGAGATTATCCTGCTGAACAAAACGTGTAATAACATAAACGTTTCTCTGCCACGGAGCTTATTGTTACTTCAGCGTTTGCATGCAGAAATACCACATTCCTGCACCACTTTATTCAAGTTTTAGTGTAAGATACATGCATCATGTACTCAGGGTGGAGGACGTTTTCTGAATCTGGAAAACTGAGAGAGGGAGGAAGAAAGTGGGATAAAAACTAGCAGAGCAAACACGAGCAGGGGAGGAAATAAATCATTTTCTTCCCAATCACTGGAGCCAGCGATTGAAATAGAGCAGGGCAGGAAATTAAAGGTGCCACATCATTTTTAATCATCATGCAAAGAGCCTCGGTTCCGAAAAGTCTTGTTGCTCTAAGATACAAAAAGAAGCTGCAATATTACTGTGGTGAAATATATTGATTGATGAAATTGACATGTATACATTATTCATTGTTTTAGTAGTAAAACTGCACATATTTTGGGTTATGCTTTTTAATTGAAAGATATCATTTAAAATTGATTTTATGAATTGATTCGGGTTTTGATCAAACATTAGCAATAATTTGAAGGTATTATGTGTTGAAAATGTTAGCCAGATTGGTGCAAACATATAAACCAAAAACATTACATACCAAAAAGATCATACTTAAAAAAATCTATTTTGCAAAGATGTATGGCATGTGCATTAAAAAGCCAAAAATCAAGCGTTATGTTTCTTGACGTTTGATTGGTGGCTACGGCTAATTTCCCCCTGATAAGGAGCAGGTGGAGGGTGCTGGTCTCAGGTGTGGGTGGGGGTCAGGTGGGGGGGTTGGGGTTATCTGGGCCGAAAGTGGGGTGCAGCTACACCTACTTGGGCCCCGGGTGCGTCGCCAGGGGAGACAAGGGGAGAGTGGCTTTGCTGCACCAAATCGGGAAGATTGGCGTTGCCGGAGAAACCATTGCTGGCGGCGGAGCTCCGCCTCCGTCTGCCGTGTTTCTGCAGAGAGAGATGGTTGCAGCCAGGCTTTGATTGACAGCTCAGGTGAAGGATGGGGGGAAACCTGCTGTGTGCGGCTGTGTTTGGTTTTAGAGAAGGGGGCGGGTGGGCACTGAATCCAGAAGAAAGAGCCCCTTTGTATATTTAACAAACAGAAACCAGAGTCCTGCACAGGTCAGAAAGCGCTGGCACCATAACAAAGAAGTAAAAGCGAATTTCTCTGAGCAGATTAGCTGGGAGGACACTGAGTGTCAAACAAATAGATAGGAGCACAAATAGAACATCTAAATCAAAACGCTGTGAAGCCAGTGCCTCTGCCAGAAGAAGACACAATGTGTACACAGAGCCCAAGAGGATAAAGGGTAGGTCCAGTTATTATTATTGTGAAGTCAGAGAGGTCAAAGGTGGTCTCACCTCTCTCATCATCAGGGTGCCGTCCTGTGAGCTGTTTCCATACGAGTCATCATTGTGACCTCCCAACATGCTGAAGGCCTCGTTCATAGCTTGACCCGCATTTGGCCTGAAAGACACAAGTCAAACATAAATAGATTTTTTTTATCAGTGTTCCAACAAGTTCTTAAAAAGTCTTGAAAGGCAGGAAATGTATTGATCTACAAAATAAGACCGTGATTGTTAAAATTCGTATTAGTTTCAAACGATTTAAAATGTGCTAAGACATGTTAAGTAGGACGGTATGAATTATTTTTACAAAATGCGACCAACCAGAGCAGTGATGGTGAACCATAAAATTCAAAAAGGTTCCGGGTTATTAAACCAAAACAAAGAGCTGAAAACTTCCATAATTCTCGACCGGGAAAGGAAACTCCTAGTCATTATTATAAAATGACTACAGATCCCCAGGTAAAACTAGTCTTGTGCTATAGGGCTTTTTAACGATCTATGATAGGACTCCATTATACAGATGTACCATATGAAGTGGACACTACATCTTAGTGTGTGCAAGGCCAGTGAGGGATCATTTCCTGTAGGATATTTAACAGGATCACTCACATGATCCGCGGTATGTCGCTGACGGCCACGGTCCCATCATTCGCCCCCCCCTCCCCCTCCTCATCCTCGCTGCTGTGGGAGTCTTCGCTGGAGGAGGAGTAGTCGGTCACTTTGACTGGGGGGCGGCTCGTCTCCTCGCCCTGACGGAGCTCCCGCAACTCTTTGGCCAGAGCCGTCAGGTCCTGCAGGAAAAACACAAAATGTGAAAAAAAATATATATATCCCAGATGTATTTCTCCTGACTGCAGAAATGGTAGTAGAAGTATTAAGATATTTTATTTAAACAAATATATTAATACTTCTTGTAACGATGCGTTTTTAACATTTTCTTAGCTTAGACAACTTATGCATCTACCCAAAAATGATTGACAGTTGTCATGGTCGCAGCTTTATTGCTGAATGTAAAATAAGTAGTTCAAAAAATATCAGAAACTTTAAATGTGCAAAAAAGAAAAAAGAAGAAAAAAGAATACTTGAAAGAATCTAGCTGTGTTTAAAAAAAAAACTGAATGTCGACCTAGAAACACTTTTTCAAGGCCTTGGATTAATATGCTTAATTCATTATACGACATGGCAATATCTATAATATATATATCAATACATGTTATGACTACTAAAAGCTAAATTCGAAAGATTAACCGAATAAAATAAAATGAATAAACATGATCTTATAGAATACAGTGAAGTAATAAGCTGCCTCTAAAACATTAAAATAAAAGAACATGAAACAAAAAAATCTATTTGAAATGTTAAAACAGCTCACAAGGTTTCCATTTGTATTAAGCTAAATGCAACTTCAAGCTAATTGTATTTCTACTCCAATTTTGATAGACTAGCAGAAGAAATGAAAAGTATATTTGTTGAAGTAGTCGGAGTACTACTAACATCTCAGAATGAGGCAGCTTGGAAGAAACAAGCAGGTGAGAAAAAAGTGAACGGGAGTTTTACTATTTGTGGCACAAGCTGTTAGTGAGATTATTTTACATTTTAGCCACATGAGTGTGAGAGGTTATAGTGGGATGGGCAGCGAGCAGAAGGATAGCGCTAAAAAGCTTAGGTTTAGATGTCAAAGTTCAAGGCTTTTTAATTCAGCCTCAGCAGCAAACAAAAAAGTTGTAAAGTGGCAGGAAGTGTGGTGTAGGAATGGAGAGGGGGTTTATCTTACCAACTCCTCCTGATGAAAGAGAGAATGGGAGAAAGAGAAAGAGAAAAAGTGTGACTGGAAATGAAATATGAGAGCAGATATGTGTGAACAGGAAGGGGTGAGATGCAGACATGACTCCTACAGGAAATCATCAATGACATCTTCATTTCTGATACAAGAGGAAAACACAAAGCGAATCATTTAATCAGAGAGAGAAACATAGTTGTTTACGCTTTCACACTGATAGGTGTCATATTCAACATGCCATATTGTGTGATTAACACATCTGTCTGTGTACGCGACTTGCATATATATAAACAAGAGTGGCTTTAAAAATATTCATTGATTTGAGGTTATTCTTTTGTTGAACGATATTGTGGTATTTTAGATATAGTTGTCTGAGTAAAATGTATATATGAGCTGCTATTCTTTCATGCAATGCAGTCCATCTGAAAACAGCCCTAGGCAACAGCGACTGATGTTTTCTTTTATGCTTTGTAACGGGATGGAAAAACAAGATGTGAGAGCCATAAAATAAAACTTCTGTAGGATTGCAGAGCTGTGCAAGAGTCCAAAGAAGGGACAGGTGAGTGCAAGGGGAGGAGAGATAGATTTCACTGAGAGGTGTGGAAGGAGGGGTGAGGCAGAGAAAGGGTGAAGGAGGAGAAATGTCACTAACCTCGTCTACAGCTCTCTTATAGCTCTGAGGAGCGAGGAAGGAAAGAATGAGAGGAAGAGAGTGAAAATGGACAGCAACGTGGTTAGTTCAGAGTGTGTGTGTTTGAGTGTGTTTGGAGTGTGTTTGAGTGTGTGTGTACTCACTGCAGGCCGGCTGGGTCGTGTCTCTCTGCCGTCCTCTTTGTTCTCATGGGAAGAAGAAAGACTTGAGCCCTCAATATTAACTGCTTGGTTACCTGAACAAAAAAATATTTATAAAAAATGTAGTACATTTTAGAAACCAAAACTTGTTTTCTGGAGTGTGGACATTTTGGAAATAAATTTGTTTTTGAGGAAGGTGAAGACTTAGTGTTCATTTGTTTAATAAAGCAATTATTAATGCAATTTTAGAAAGTGAGAAAACATTTTTAAATGTAGGGAAATGTTGGAGAAATTTGAGGATATTTATCGATGAGTGAAGACTTTTTGGGAAACTGAGGATTTTTGAGTGGAAGTGGAAACCTTACAAAAAATGAAAATATATTTTTGTAAGTTGAGGAAGGAGAAGACAATCAAACAATTTTGTATTCATTCAATGAATGTCGTCAAAGAAGTAGGGAGTATAGAAGCATGTGTGTGTGTGTTTGTGTGCACCTCTCTCGTTGGACCCCCCGTGGGAGCTCGGGGTGCTGGAGCTGGAGGAGCTGCCGCTGCTTGTCTTCTTCAGCGGCGTATCCAGGGAAATGTCCGTCCTCCGCAGGTCGGGGTTGCTAAGGCAACACAAACACAGTGCCGTCTCATTCATACAGAAAAAATTCCGACATCATCATGTGTGTGAGTTTGTGTGCGTGTCCCTGATACAAGTTCAAAACATGCCTTAAAGATTTGTTAAACTGTTTATTTATGTTTCGTGTATAGCATGATGAAACAAGCTTCAAATGCATGTCATTGTGGGAGATAAACTAAGTAAAATATTTGTTGTGTATTTTGGTGTGTGTGTGAATGGGGGGACTAGCATTACTATACTTGTTGGGACCTACATCTGTTTACACAGTCATGTGTGGGGACTCGCCTCCCTTATAGGGACAAAATGGAGGTCCCCATGAGGGGAATCAATTATTTTAGGGTGAAGACTTGGTTAGGTTAAGGGTAAGGGTTAGGCATGTGTTGGTTATGGTTAGGATAAGTCTCCAGGAAATGCATGTAAGTCAATGTAATGTCCCCTGAAGTGATGTATACATGGTGTGTGTGTGTGTGTGTGTGTGTGTGTGTGTGTGTGTGTGTGTGTGTGTGTGTGTGTGTGCACGTACCTGGCCCGTATAAGGTGGGCTCCAGCCCGGGGGCCGAGGCCTGGTCCGTTTCCAGGAGAGTGTTTTCTGACTAAAGCAGGAGAGATGGAGGTCGTCCTCTGAGGAACCTGAATACACAACACACCTTAAGAACCTCCACCTGTTTCCATTACACATCTAAAACACAGATTTGTATCTATTTTTATTACAACATCTGTGCTGTTGGGTTTGATTTAGAACAAGACTGAAAGCAAACACATACATCATTGTCCTGCTCATTTTAAAGGATTTAAATCAAAGTAAAAATGCCTCTTTAGGGGGCCCTGGACTTTCTACGTCTGTGTTAAATGTGTATTGTAAACGATGTACTGCTCAAAAGAATGGATTATTCATTGTGGCCTTTGATGTTAATACCATAAGATCATGTTTTATATGTTATAACAAACATACAAATATCAGGAGAGACTCCCAACAGAAACTTAGGAAAAAGGAAGAAAAGAAGAGAAAATTAAGACAAAGCTAAAGTAAACACACACACACACACTCAGACAACACTTGGCTGGGGCATGCAGAGACCTTGGGGGGCACGTCGTCGTCCTGCCGCAGCCATGAACTGCGGTCCAGCTTGTCGAGGGGGGGTGCCAGGCGGGAAAGGGGCAGGGGGGTAGGGGTGTCAGAGGTGGGGTCGGAGTTCTGCCGGGGCATGGGAGGTCGGGAGGGGGAGGGCGACGCCGAGGAGGAGGACACGCCGTGGGGGTCGTACAGGGACTGGGACCCGGACAGACCGTGGCTCTTCACCTGCACCAAATGGGCCATCTGCACGCACAAACACGTGCGCGCACACACACACACACACACACAGGAACCAGGCAGGGTTTGAGCAGGATCAATGTGATCGAGATGCAGCAGGAGGAGAGAAAGGTGAGAAAGAAGGAGAGGAAGGTGAGAAACACAAGCCTCAGGGTGCGTTCACAACAGCCAGGTTTACACAACAACAACTCTTTAAAACGCAAGCTTCTGACCTCCAGCTGGAGAAAAAAACATCTAGATGCCACTAGAAGTAATAGTTTAGGTCCAACATATGTATGTGTCTGGATTACTTCTGGAGTTAGAAAAAAGCTGCCTTTAGCTTTAATGCTACTCAACTGTGAAGAAAATCACCAGAAAAGTATTTCTTATCAGGCAGTGATGACTACTAAAAAAATATTGTAGAATCAGGTCCTCATCACAACAATCCAAGAACGTGTTTGCATTAGAGTGTAACTCACACCTAACCGGAAGCAATCAATACGTTTTATGGTCACAATCTAAAAACTCACACTCCTGACTCTAAGAGTGATGGCACCCTGAGGGATGTAGGTTAGTGTCACATGCACACACACTCATCTAAAGGTGTAGATGCACACACACCTGTGGTTCCACGGAGCGGTGCATTGGGGGGGTGCGGGCCTGCTGGATGCCTCCACTGCTGAAGGACTCGGAGCGGGGGGGCAGCGATGGGTCCGAGATCCGGTTAGCGACCTTATGCTGCAACGCAGGAGAAGTCTGTCTGTTCATCTTATAATGCTCCTCCACCTAACACACAAACACACACGCCACAGTCACTCACAGCATGCAGTGAGGTGTGTGTACATGGTTCAACTCCATGTATTACAAGCAGGCTTTATAACTCAATAAACAAAATAACATTTAGTTTTCCTAAGATTTTTTATGAATGCTGGTCATCTGTTTTTAGAGGGGAAAATTGTGTCTGGACCTTAGAGGGAAATCCTGGTGTGTGTGTGTGTGTGTGTGTGTGTGTGTGTGTGTGTGTGTGTGTGTGTGTGTGTGTGTGTGTGTGTGTGTGTGTCCTGAGGGAGAAAGACTGATTTAGCTGCCCTACATCAGTTAACTAGAGGGCAGGCCTAAATGTGTGTGCATACTCCGGGGAGGGGACTTTGATTCATAGGGATATAAAAGCCAGAATAGATCTAAGGAAGCCCTGAACGGCCATTATTCAACATTTCATTTCCTCATGTAATAGGGATACTTTCATCAAACCAAGAGGTTACAAGCCACTTTCACGCAGAAACAAGTTTGGTCTTTTTTTTCTTATGGATCATCTTATTATGGACTATTTTTATAATTATTTTAAAGATTATATTTTTTTTAATTAAATATGTGCTTCATTGCAATCATTTCCGGACCAGAAATCTGAACATTGGATTTATAAAACATGCAAAAGACTCCTAAAACATTGAATTGAAGAGAATCAGGGTCAGAAAATGACAAAAACATTTAGATTAAGCTGTTAGTTTGAGCTTTTGTATTTCAATATATTATCCGATCACACCAGAACATGCAACAAAACAGCAGCCATCAACCTTAAAACATTCGATTAATAAAAGTTAGAAAACATCCAACGGTACAGGGTTAGGGTGTCAGTTACCTGTAAAATGTAGAGTGAGTTTTTAGAAAGTAGATTAAACGTTACAGTGTGAAGGAGGCAACATGACACTTGATTAAAAGAGAAGAAGTAAAGCAAGTGTCAGCAAATTAGTTTATGGATTCCTGGGTGTAAACACATTTTAAAGTGGTTCAAATAAAGTTGTGTCTAGATTCTTATACAACTTTCAAAAAGTTTAATATGATTCAGTACTATTATGCAAGAGGTGTGAGTTATAATTTAAGAAGCACCAGCCAAAGAGGAAATGAATCACAAGATCCCTGTGAGAAACAGTGAGAGGAAGGGGTGTGAAATTAAAAAAGTCCTCGTTATAGCTTCTGCAGCCAGCCCAGAGTTAATACATGTGAGTCCACCTGGTAAGAGAAATGAAAATGTGATTAAAGAGGAAATTATTCCAGCAGCGGGGGGCGGGGGTTAGATTAGTGAGTCAGCCTGGAGAGTGTGCAGGATTAAAGAGGAGAAGATAAAGTATGCTCTTCCTCCCACTGACCCTGCGCCCGGGGCTGCGGCCCCTGGACTCTGGGCCACGGTCGGGGCTGCCGCGGGGGCTCTGCCAGCGGGCCCCCGGCTCTGGGATGCAGGTGACTCGGATCTGAGGCATGTGCATGTTGCCCCTAGAAGGACTGTTGTGAGCGGGGTAGGAGGGGGGTCTGCGGCGGCGGGGTTTGAAACCGGGGAGGCGGAGGAGGTCGTTCATGTCGACGTTCCGCTTCTCCCTGAAGGAGTGGTACTTCTTGGGGGGGATGCGAGGGGAGTTGCTCTGAGCTCGGCGCATCACCTGGAGGGCAAGGTGGGTGCAAAGGACAAATGAAACACAGCGTGGACTCAGGTGTGCATCACGCCCTCTGGCAGCCATACTGGAGGTTCATATCAGATGACAGCATGTCTTAATTTAAAACCTGCACATCATTATTACACTTTAATTAATTTAATAAAGATCAGGTGACAAATATAATTACATCTTTGAAATTAAAACTAAAGTTAAATGTTAAAAACCTGGCCAGTGTTTTAACAGATGTAGTACATTTTGAACGTCATCTTTAAAATTGTTAGAGATTGTTTTGACTTTTATGTGGAAAATATATTGCTTCCATTGCACAGTGGAAGTACATTTCCCAAGAAGTGTCTTTAATTTATGGCTCAATAAAGATTGCAACTTGAAATATATATATTGCTACTGTATAAAAACATACAGCAGCATTTTTCTCTTAGTGGAACATAACCATCTAGATGGCTTGAAAGTCAAAACGAATTTACAGCCAAATAAGAAATGTTTTGTATAAAGTAGCCAATTAGAAAGTAGCTGCAAGAGGATTTGTATATATGCAACACTGAGTAACAAATGAGAGCTTCATTCCAAAATTCTTCGTCAAGTCTCAAGACCCATAAAATGCTACTTTTATATTTTCTGCGCTTTATGTGAGGATGATGCCATTCACAGAAATATAGCTATTGATGGTCAAAGGCCTGCAGCCTCACTTTTTAATAATGAACATTGTTTTGGGAATGAGACTCTGCATTCACATCACAAAAACAGCGGGAAAAGCAGCACAGCACAGAAATGATTGTCCCATTGTTGCACCTAAAACATTCAAGTCAGAAAGAGTTCATTTCAAGGATCGCCACAGAAGAGATCCTCTGCAGGAATGAAACCTTGAGGAAATAAAACTCAAACAAGTAGACATCAACCAACAGTGTTAACCTGCAGGGAGCTCCGCAGGCCTCCAGCAATCATCATGGTGTGTATAGTGTTAATGAACGTTTTACTACAGACTTTGTCATTGGGGCTGAGCTGTTTGCACTTAAGTGTATTTTTAACTGTTGTGTAATGGGTGCATTTGTTCCTACACGCAAACTGTCTTATGTTTGAAAAAGGTTCACCTGAGTGTCTCTGCACACACATTTAGATGTCAGCCTTCAAGAGATGAAAAAGTTATTTTATACATTTGTCAACATGTAGTCTCACTCTTTGCAGTCTCACTCTTTGAACAAAAAGAATATTGCTTACAATATTGACTGCTCATTTGGGATTCTTCTAATAAAATTTGATATTTAGTATTTAGTAAGTATTTTTATTACATGTTTAAAGAACATGGTGGACATCAAAAAATGTTTAAGATTGAATATTTCCTTGTATATTCAGATTAGAATTTACACAATATCCTTAAAACTCTATATAGTAAATTGATGGATGTGTAAAACTGATTCTGATTACATGGGGATCAAGAAAGATGACTCCTTATTCCAGAACTTCTCGTTTACAGGACTGTAAAGCTTCCAGAGTGTAAAATAACTGCAGAGTGTGGGCCATGCATTTTACCTCGGAAGCCCAGGCCGGCTTGTCGTTGGTGCCGGGGGCCTGGTCTTTGTAGTGGTATAGCTGCTTCTTGTCCTGGGGGGGCCGGGGGGGTTCCTGCTGCTGCTGCAGAGACACCAGGTACGCTCGCTCCTGCTGCAGCTGCCTCTGCAGGCGCTCCGCCTGACGCTGCTCCTCGATCTGCTTCCTCTTGTACTCCTGCAAAGCAAACACAGGAGAGGAGAGTGATGAGGTTAAAGGGGGGTTTCTGGATTCTCAAATTCAGAAGTGTTAAATAAAACACTACGTCTTAAATACTCCCCGAGAAACATTAGTTAGAATGTCTTTCACATTTCCCTTAAAAGGTTAATATTACAGTATCTAGTCCAAAGGTATCAGGACACCGTCTCATGTATCATTACATCAGAGTGACTAAAGTCTTGTGCCCGTTTTTACTTTAACTTCTTATATTTATCAAAATGATTTTTACGCTTCATTTTATTTCATCATTAATTGGACATTTTACTTTAACGTCCATGTTTGATTATATATCATTATTTAATTCTATCTTTTTATTGTAAATTCTTACTTTTATTTTCATTTGTATTTATTATATTCATTCTAAAATGGAGCAAAGGTCACAACTTCAATCATTTGTTCAGTGGTGCAGAAACGTAACTACCTTTAAATATTAAGTAATTGATAAAGCCATGGCAAAAACAATTACTGCGGGAAACATTCTGAAACAAAACGGTTTAGACTGTGGTATGACAGAAGGCTCCATTTCATTTATCGCAGACCAATAAAAATGACTGGGTATGTAATAAAAATGACTGTCATAAAGGCTCTGAGTTGTTATTACACTGCTGACTAACGGCGCACTGTCCCTGCTGTCTTGTTTTCCGTAATGGAAAAAGGATGCAAACATCATCGTGAACAATGAAGCTGAATAAAGTGTAATTTCACAAAAGACAGCTATCGACAAACACGCCCTCCGCTCTGTGTTTTTATTGA